TTCTGAACTTGCACCTTATTTGGATGGCAATTCGGATTTGAGGGCAAATCATTTTGAAGAAGGAGGGGCTGATGAGGACATCAATGGGCCAGTCACACGTGCTAAGGCAAGGACGTTGAAGGAGAAGCTTGCGACATATTTGGAGAGCTACTTTGGAGCCATGGACGTGGAGCTATTTCGAGGGAAGCCATATATGATGATTCGAGTGGAGGAAGAAGGAGGAAGTGCTGAAGAGAAGGCATATTGCAAGAAGCAGCCTTAACGGGTCCAGCCTTAACGGATTTACTTAACGGGTCTAGCCTTAACGGTTTGGGCTTAACGAGTCTAGGCTTAATGGTTTGGGCTTAACGGGTTTGATGGGCTATTTCTGAGTTTTCATGTTTTAAAGTCGGTTTGTGATTGTTTTTCCATGTTGGAGTCAGATTTGGGTTGTACTTTGCCTATTTAAAGGGTTGAACACGTTGGTTTGCCTTTAGACGATTATTATTGAATTTCAGAGGCTATTGTCGAGTTCCCTACGGGGAATTTGTCCTAATTACTCTGTCGAGAATCTCCAAAGTGCTAGAGCGACTCTTATCAGCTAGGTATTCACCTTGGTTGTGATGAGCTACCCATATCGATTTCCCTTTATTCCAAGTTGAATCTGTCCGATTGATTCATATATCGATTGCCCTTATTCATGGGTGAGTAATGTCCGATCGATTTCCATCCTATCTGGTTCTGTTTGGTTCGATAAGCTTGACCCTGCACAACTTTGATTATATCACATGTGCAAATAATGGTCTGTCAAACTCCCCCACACTTAACCGTTTGCTTTTCCCCAAGCAAACCTAACTCAAACAAGTGCAGCCCTTCCAGACATCTATAGCAACATGAACCCCCGATCGTCGGTAGAGGATGTCCTAGATCATTTAGCAGCTTCGAGGTCAACCGACAAACAAGTCATCTCTTAACTTCTTCGGCGAGAACACTAGTCTCAAGTCGACATCATGGAAAATAGTGATAAGAGGACAAATGAATTGTGGAGGAAGGGACTCTCGAAAATAGAAAGATCATGGACTCACTTTTGTTTAAGGTGCTCTATTTTCTTCTTGAAGATGGTTGGAATCCCCTTTTTTTCTTTGTTTTTCTTTTCTTTGTTTTGTTGTTTTTTTTTCAAGGGTCCCAACCTGTTATTTTCAGAAAACGGGACTCCCACTTATTGAAGGTTTTGAGGGAGCCTGGCTCTTACCAGCCATGCCAGGAGCAGATGTCTCTAGTCTCGTGAAGGGGAAAGAAATGTAAGGGGGCTGGAGGTAGTAGGTGAATTTGGGAGCGGATTCCCCTCACCAAGTTTTTGAAGCTTGGTTGAGGTCGGGTACGCCGCATTTCGCTGTCGAAGCTATGTTCATCATGCGGAAACGTTGGTTTAACTGGGATTTGAAGGTCGGGCTTGAGGATAGGGGAGGTCGGGAACCTTACCTCCACAACTCCAGGTGAAAATGCCGATGTCGAGGGGCTTGGGTCGTCCGCTGGCGCTACCGCTGATGGGGACCGTGCCGGAGGAGCAGGACGACTGGACGACGTCTGCTGCTGTTGTGCTTGGACAAAAAACCCACTAGACTGGGGAGCTTCTTGTTTTGGGGAGGGTTGTCTCTGAGCTGGTCCTATCTTGGTTATGAGGCAAAAAAAATGAAGGTAAAACGAGCGGTAACAAAAAGGAGATAGATAGACCGAGCGAGATTGGGGTAACGTAAGGTGAAGGGTTTAATTTGGGGTTCTATCTTGTCTTCCTTTGTGATGGGAGGGAGGAACGTGGAGATGACCTGATGATTATGTTAATCACAATAATAATAATAATAATAATAATAATAATAATAATAATAAGGCGTTATTATTGATGAGGGGAAATGGCGGATGATGGTTATGATGACGATGATGATAATAATAATAATAACAATAATATTTATTATTATTATTTTCTCTAATCTACGGTTGGACCCTTCGTACGTAATCGTCAACCGAACGTTTGGTCGAACCTAGACCCAAATGTCGGGGTGTTACATTTCCTCCACCCTTATAAAAAATTTCATCCCTGAAATTTGAACTGTAGCACGTACAATTACTTATACGATGTATCGCTATTACTTATATGATGTAACGCACTAACGCTATAGTTGAAGGAACTGCTCTAGCCGGGATATAGCAGGTAGTGTCCAATATCATGAATACCATCCAAATCAAATAATGGATGGTAGTGTCCAATAACATGGATACCATCCAAATCCAATAGTGGATGATAGTGTCCAATAACATGGATACCATCCAAATCCCATTATCGATGGTAGTGTCCAACATCATGGACACCGTCCTAACCCTATGGTGGATGGTACTATCCAAGATCAGGGACACCATCCCAAATATAACGGACACCATCCAAACTTAAAGTGGATGGTGCCATGCAATAACATGGATACCATCCATGTTATTTGGTGTATGATGACTATCTAATTGTTCATCCATGGTACGTAGGGTTGATTATCCAGGGACATGATGACGTGTTGAAAGTGGTTACCAGAAGCAACAGCTGACTTGCAAAGGACGTTCGGAGGAGTTACTGAATGCTACGTCGAGCTAATTTCGAGGAAGAGAGAGAGAAGGTGGTTAGAGGGCGAGACACAACAAAACTTGCAACAAGGTTCTGGAGGAAGACATACAAATCAAATCACAAACAATCTCCTCAAAATTTATATTTTCTCTCTAGAATAGTAACTGTAGCAGTAGTACCGGGGACCCTCCAACGAGGCTTCTCTGTTAGTTGTAGTCAGTAGTTGCGGAACTCTCAAGAAATCTCCATAGGAGTAGAGGTAAAAGTAGCCAGATCCTTTGAAGTATGCATCGAACACCCTCGTTCAAACAGTGTTTGAAAAGGTGTGAACCGAGTAACATCGTTTTCTAGTTTTCTTGAAGTCAGGGTGCATTGATCACTCGAAATTCCTCCTAAAACAGTAGCTTTTACAGAAGCAGCTTCTGGCTGAAACTTTTAAAGAAGTACTAAAAAAAAACAGTTGAGTGTTTGACTGAAATACTATTAGAAGTGTTTTTTAGTATAATAGATTATGTAAAATGGCTAAAAAGGATTTATAATATAAAATATGAGTAAATTTTTTTAGATAATAAAAATTAGTAAAAATGGATCTTGTTAGATTTATTTTATATTAATAATTATTATTTTTAAATTTTATTTTATTTTTAATATGATATAATTGATAAAAAATTATATTTTGTAAATAAAATATAAAATTAAATTATCTTGTATTATCAAAACATCTTTTCGCAAAAATTTTATATAGGTGTTTGACATTACTTACGTTTTTTAAGCAACATATACATTTTTTTTATGAACCATATACATTAGGACTTTGCTACGGTGACATGCATGTCATGGTGACATGCACTTTTCGGTCAACCTCATATAGGATTAGGTTGACCTAATCTGTTGTTTCAGTGTAAAAACAGTTTCATGATGCCTACTTTGGAGATTCATATCTTACAATTGGCTATATGAAAATTGGAGATCAATGGTTTGTTTTGAAGCTGAAGTGTCCCTCTACACATTAAAGTACTTGGGAGCTCAAGAAGAAGTCCAAAACACTATTTTTGAACCTGATCAAAAGGCTATGCCAAAACTTGGAAACTGCATGAAAATGGCTAAGTCTGGGAACATGTTTGTAAAAGCCAACTTTGGAACTTAATTCAAGAAGCATGGATGCGAATTGAGTCCAGGGGCCTCTATCACGTTAAATTAATTATATTTTTATACAAAGTCAAGGCATTGGATTAAAGATTGGATATCTGTAAGGCTTCAAACAAAAGGTTCGAAGTTGCTATGAAGGCTGATTTTCTGGCAGCTTGCTTGTGCTCGAAGTCTGCCAGAAAAACAGTCTTCGTAGCAACTTCGACCCTTTTGTTTAAAGCCTTACAGATATCCAATCTTTGATCCAATGACTTGACTTTGTATAAAAACATACCTAATATAACGTGGTAGAGGCCCCTGGACTCGACTCGCATCCATGCTTCTCGAATTGAGCTCCAAAGTAGGCTTCACAAACATGTTCCCATACTTAGCCATTTTCAGCCAGTTTCCTAGTTTTGGCATAGCCTTTTGATCAAGTTCAAAAATAGTCTTCTAGACTTCCTATCAAGCTCCCAAGCACTTCAATGTCTAGAGGGACACTCCAGCTTCAAAACAAGTCATTAATCTTCAATTTCCATCGAGCCAATTGTAAGATATGAATCTCCAAAGTAAGCACCATGAAACTGTTTTTACACTGAAACAACGATTAGGTCGACCTAATCCTACATGAGATCGACCTAATCCTAACTGAGGTCGACCGAAAAGTGCAAGTCACCGTGACATGCATGTCACCGTGGCATGCATGTTACCGTAGTCACTAAGAATTTGATCAAATAATAAAAACACGTAATACCTATCACATAACATATGGGAAAAAGCAATAAAATCCCACTTAGGGCTGGTTTGCAGAATTGGAGTCTAAATCTATAGATTCTAGACAATCCAAAGATTTTAACTCTCTGGATTGTTGAAAAAAGATTTGAAAATGTTCATTGTTTGGTAACTAGCTACGATTGCTAACATCCAATGAAAAAGAAATTCAATTTTTTTATTAAATGATATGTTTATCCTTAACTAAAATAATTAGATTGGCTCGAAAACTATTGTGAATTTATTGGTGAGGGTATTTAGTGGGATAAATGAAAAAAAAAGAGATATAGTAGGAGAAAGAAAATTTCCAAAATCAAGATGTAGAATCTCTCTAATTGTGAGAGATTTGATATCTCTAGATTTTAGAGATTTAAAATCTCTGAAGCTGCAATCCACGATACAAAAAGTAACAAAAAAAAAAAAACATAACATTTTACTAAATCTATTGATTCAATAAATCTATGATCCAAATCGTGTTCTCCAAACCAGCACTTAGAGGACGAGACACGCAACGCACGCCGCTCACTGGTCCCTTTCCCGACTCTCTGTTACATTTTCCTTTTCGTTTTCAGTTTTCATCACCACCTTTACGTTTCTTTCTGCAACCGTGTCTCTCGTTCCCTCTCTCTCCTACTCGACTTCTCGCGTATGGTATCCCAGTCCGGGGAGATTTTTTTGCATTTCCTTCTTTGGGGCTGGTTAATTTTCCTCTGTTAGCTTGAAGCGGCAGGTAGAGAAGAAAAGAAAGGTGGATGGAGAGGAAGGCGTTGTTGGTTTGCAGCGTTGTGGGTGTTCTGGGTTTGCTCTCAGTTGCCTCTGGTTTCGGCGCAGAAGCCACCCGGATTAAGGTCTCACCCCTTACCCTCTATGCTTTTCTGCTTCCGGATCTCTTCATTCTTGTACTTACTAGAGGCATTGCACTTTAGTCCGGAGCTGGTTCATTTCGTCTCCCAATTATTTCCATCTTATTCGTCATCTGGGTTCAATTTACTTTTCACGACGTTGATTGATAAATATGAACTCCCACGTGTACGTTGGTGAAACCTGTAGTGGGGGCGAAGATGCAATAATAACTTCATTCTCTATGCTTGGTGTTCGTTCTTCTCTTGAGTCTGACTAGCTAGGCTCGGCTAGGGTTCGAATTAGTACATTGAGTCCTGACACTTAACTCTGCGTGAGTCTCGGCACAGGATGATTCTGTTTGAAGCTTAAATTTGAATTTGGGCAACCCTTCAATGGTGACTTGTCGATAGAGCTTTATACGAGTTAGCATTGAGTCTCCCCCGAGATCCGAGTTATATTATGGTTCGTATTTTGCCTGCGTGTACTCCTTTCTCTCCCAGCGAAAATGGGAACATAATACTTTAGTCTAACGCAGATGGTTGTGTTATATATGGATTGGCTGCCAGGGTTCTCAAGTTCAGTTCACAACCACAACTCAATGTGCGTATCCAAGGAGTCCAGCATTGGGTCTTGGTTTGACCGCGGCTGTTTCGCTGATGCTGGCTCAAGTAATCATTAACATAGCTACTGGTTGCATATGTTGTCGAGGAAGCCCTCACTCATCTCATTCCAACTGGACTCTAGCTTTAGTCTGCTTTTTCGTTTCTTGGTAAGAATCAGCCTCACCATTTAGTTTCTTCTGGTAGTGTGTTCATGCTCAGCTTGCTTGCTTCATGTCTAGAGTTAGGCAAACTTTTTGTTCCCCAGTCAAAATGAAATATGAAGGGGATGCTTCAGTATAATCCTGAATTCTTACTGCTCTTGAAATTGACACTGCAAGGCTTCCTTGCTGATATGACTAGAATTGAATACTTACACAGCATATAAATTTCATCTAAGTGACGCAAACGAACTGACCGCTCGTGTTATCTTAGGATATGCTAGCTAACTTTGGAGGAGCAATGTAAGTAGGCCTGTATTGCTAGGGGTCCCAGATTAGAAGAGTCTGAATACTAAACCACTATTTGAGACTCCCTCAAGTCATGTAGTTGACCTAAACTGCAGAATGTCAAACTTTGGTTGACCTTCTATCAATGACTAAACTGGAGGTAATAAGTTCAGTTTTCTGATCATTGCAGATGTCACCTTTGTCGGTCTTTTCCATTTTCAAATTTAAGGGAAAGTTTCTCAAAAGATTTTGCTCTACGATATCTGAAAAACAAAAACAAACAAACTCATTGCAGATTTGTGTGATTAGAGTACTCATATTGGGTGGACGGTATTTAGGGAAATGGTGGTGGAGAAAATTGGGATTGTGGGTCTACTTGTATTGCTTGGTCATGAATGAACTTGGAAAGATAATGGCATGGGCTTATCTGCATAAGGTACTGTTTTTTTAGATTTGCACATAAAAAGTTTAGTTATATCTCCTCTTCATTTTGAAGAATAGTTATATTTCTAATGTTGGTGTCAAATTTTGAACTTAGGGTGGGGAATTCAATTTGACAGCTATGTTGCTCTTTACTACAATGTACAGAAATTAACCCATTACAAAACCTCTGTTCTCTTTCAAAAAAAAAAAAAAAAACCTCAGTTCAATGTTCATGGTGCCGTCATATGTGTAATCAGTATTGCTGTGGAGTAATTTACTTGATTTAGAAAGAGCTTTTTGTTAGGCCATGTTAACTTGTATGTTCAAGAATAGTATGCCACTCAGAGTAAGGTTATAATTCCCTCGCAGAGGTGAATGCAGGCAGACAATTAAGAAAGTAAATTCGAGACTTGATCAAAAGATATGTGGCTATGTGGGTAGCTCGTTCTTTTCACTTGGTATGGTTCAGCTTCTGAAATTCGAAGTGTTGTGTTTGAGTTTGACTGTGTCTGAGTGCTGCTATTATTTATTATTATTATTATTATAATAAGTGCTACTCTTACTGCAGGTTCACCTTTGTGGTGGCATTTCTCCTGCTGCTAACCGGAGCTGCACTGAATGATCAACACGGTGAACAGAGCATGTACTTTGGCAACTACTACTGCTACGTTGTGAAGCCTGGAGTGTTTGCTGGAGGTGCACTGCTGGCCCTTGCCAGCGTGACCCTCGGAATCTTGTATTACCTCGCTCTAAATTCTGCAAAGAGTGGTGGCAGTGGCAGCTTCTTATGTGGGGGCCATCATCCTCCCACAACAACTGGTCCTATGAATAACAGTGGGATAGCTATGGGACAACCCCAATTTCCGGCGCAAAGCAGCAGCACCACCACCCAAGATCCAGTTTTCGTGCATGAAGACACCTACATGAGAAGGCAATTCACATGATTTTGGGAAGCTCTGTGAGGAAGAGCTGGTTTCTTGTTGTATTCGAGGACGAAATGTGTAGAGGAGCTGTATAGTTTGGCAATCTTGTGTCTATCAGGACTTGTTTGTGAGGACGAAGAAATGCTTGGTTGGTTTCGAGTATTTTTTTACTTAAAAAATGAGTTTCAGTCCGTGTGTTAAAAATTGAAAGAAAAAAACCCGTCGCATGCCCGTGTACTGTACACACAGACACCTTTTACTGTACAACGTGACTGAGATTTACTGTTTCAAACTGGCGTGTCCTTCGGTGTGGGCTGGAGTTGGGTGAGGCCTCATTGGGATCTGGCGGGGTTTGGGGGCTCGGTCGGGGTGGGACTGGTCGTTGGCTTCTGGTTGGCCTTAGTTGCGGTCGTTTGGTGGCCCGGACGCGCGTTGGTCATCAGAGATCGGTATGTGACTTTGCCCCTGCCCGGCCACGTGGGATGGGGCCTTCAGATGTGCTCAGTAAGTCTTGCGTGATATCATTGTGTCTGTTAGGGATTCCGGCTGTTGTTCGCAAAACTGTGTTGGAGAAACTTGCCGGCTGATTGGCTGGGGTTGGAGGTGCTTTGGGAATGGTGGACAACTGATTGATACCGGTTATTCACCTGAGGGACAGGGCCTTCAGATGTCCTCAGTGAGTCTTGCATGATATGATTGTGTCTGTTAGGGATTGCTAGAGGGTCGTGTTGGGTTGTTGTTCGCAGGACTATGTTGGAGAAACTTGGCGGCTGATTGGCTGGGATTGGAGGTGCTTTGGGAATGGTGGGCGGCTGATTGATACCGGTTATTCACCTGATGGCGGGAGGGTGTCAAAAAGTTTACTGTTTCAAGCACTGTGGACGTCATTCAGTGCCTCGATGCGTGCGCTCAGGTGGAGAAGGGCATTTCTCATTCTTTTTGCACAAGAGGACTCATTCTCGGAACGCATTTCCCTCTTTTTTCTACCCTCTTTGTTCTCTGTGGTTCAGTCGTTGTTTTCTCGCCTTTTTCCTCACCATGGATGCTACTCTGCTCTGCAATCTCAAAGGAGGTACCAGAGAGGTGACTTTGAGGCTTCGTCTGCTCCATATGTGGTATGCCAATAATCCTTCTGGGACAAGGGTGTTTAATCACTGTTGCCTCTGGGTGGATCAGACGATAGATTCTCTTACGCTGATTCTTTGTGATTACAGTGCTTTCTGTTTTTTTGCTCTTTCTTTACTGTCTTTTTTTGTTTTTAATTTAGTGTATGCTCATTCAGAGCCTGGCTTATGTCTCTATTGGGTCTGAATTTGAGCGTGTGCTACGCGTGGGAGTTATCTACGTTCTTAGGTCTTTTGGTCTCAGTGCCGCAAGGAATCTCTATCGTGCTTGCTCATTTGATCTGATAATAGAGTTGTCAGCAACAACTATTTTCCAGGCCTGTTCTCTACCTGCAGCTGAATTTGCAACGGATTCCTTTGAGGTTGTTCCTTATAGTGAGCTGTCTAACCGTTCAGGGGACAATCGTATCCTTGCAGGTGATTATTGCGTTTTCTTGACTGAATTGGATTGGGTTTTATGTCTTCTTACTGCTCTTTTTTTTCGGGCAGATGTTGTCGGCCGTCTTCATTCTATTAGCGGGATTGATCATCAGGTTACTAATCACGGCTCGACTCCAAAACAAGTTCTGGTCCTTGAGAATGCACAGTAGGTCTTTCTGTTATTTTATTTTTCCACTGGGGAATACTGTTTCGTCACCTTCACGTAAGATCTGATCCTTTGTTTTGCTGTCAGGGGCCAGAGAGTGTCGATCACGCTTTGGAATGAACTGACGGCAGTCCTTGATCGACCTGCTTTGATTCAGGCGGACTCCATTGAGCCAGTGATCGTTGGAGTTGGAGGGCTCATGGTTGGTCGTTTGATAGGTGTGTATTTTAACTCTTTTCCATTCTGCTTGATCATAAATTGTGAACTGATTTTGTTTTTGTTGTGCAGCTGGTGAATATTCCTGTTCGAGCTCCTCTGGAACCCGTATAGTTGTTAGCCCGAGGATACCAGAAGCTTACAGCCTCGCTGCTTTGTGGGTTCTTTGTTGTTAAACTGTGATTTTGTTGTTCTAGATTTGTTTTGTGGTGTTTGGTTTGCTTTACTTTTTTGTGTCCATCTATGCAGTTTTGGTGGATCCAGAGTTCCTGTTGCTGATTTGCCGGTCAAGTTTGCGACCCCAGGGGACGCTGTTGCTGATGCTGAGCGGAGAACCAGGACTATAGCTGAGCTTCTTGATTTGCACCATGGTGGTGCTTCTGTCGTGAGTTGCATTCCGATGTAGTTCTTGATTTTAGAATGGTCTTCGGGTTGTCCATTTATTTATGTTTTTTTATTTCTTTTTGGGATTGTCAATGTTTATATTCAGGATGAAAAGCATCGTTGCGGTGGTATAGTCCGATCGGTTGAGTCCTGGAGCCCGTGGTATTACATGTCATGCAGCATGTGCAGGAAAAAGTTTTCTACGTGGCGAAATGGTAACTACTGGTGTCCTAACCATTGGGAGATCACTGAGCAGTAAGTGACAGTTGGGTGTGTGTTTTGTCTGATCATTAGTTGTTGTTTTTGTTTATTTCATTATGTGCCTGTCAGGACTTAAAGAATTTGCCTAATTTTTTGAGTTTGCACTCCTATGCCTTTCCTGATGGAATTGTCTCTGTTTTTTACTGTGTCGTCTCTAGCTACAAGATCCAATTGACCCTGCGTGATGCCACTGAAGAGGCCCCTTTCATTATTTTCGGCCCGTGTGGGAACAATTTGGTGCTCACATCTGCCCAACTGCTGGCCCAGAGATATCCTCACAGGTCTGGCCAGTTACCGCCTGAACTTGAGGCTTTGCTCGGCCAGTTTGTCAGGTTTGAGGTCAAGCTTCCGATGGTTGGGTCAAGTGGAGTATTTACGGGTGAATTTCGTGTTTTCCGAGTTATGCCCCGTGATGTTCAGGGCCCAGTGCTTGGTCTTATAGGAGTTCCAGATGTCACAGGCAGTGTTTCTTCGTCCCAAACCCTAAGTCAGTCCTATTCTGGTCAGGAAGGAATGTTGATGCTGCCTGCTCCAGGTGTACCTTTCGCAGCTTCAGCTTCTGCTGTCATACCATCTAGGTGAGCGTTGTTTGCTCTATTGTTATGTTTGTTTTAGTTAATTACGGGGGTTTAGTATTGGGTTTGGGTTAGTCTAATTATTAATCTTTGCTGTTACAAATCTAGCTCATCCAAAGGAAAGGAAAAGGTTGTTGACTCAGTGTCGCCTGGAGGGACGAATCCAACATTCCAGATTGGCCAGGTTGCAGGGTTGCCTCTCAGGTAAGACATTTGGACTGTTTTACTTGATTTGGTATTGATGCATTAACCTGTGCTTTGTTGCTGTTGTTGCATGGTAAATACTTATGTGCTCATTTGGCTCTTGCAGTTCATCTCAAGTTCCTTTGGCAATCAAGGAGAAGGCTGTTGTGTCCGACGTGATTTCGCCAAATTTACTGCCTCCTGTTTCATCTATTGCACCTTTGCTTTCTGTTGCTGATGTGAAAGGAAAAGGAACAGGTCCAGGGGCGACTGTTGTGGCAGCTCCTTTTACCATTGCAGATCCTTTGAAGGTCTCTAATATCCAGTCAGTTGGTGCTGTGAAAGGTGCAGTGGGGACTCCTGGAACTCTGAGTGATGGTATGGATGTGATGAGTTCTACTAGCCAGGGAGTACATGGATTGTCATCCATTGCTGGGCTGGGTTCTGAAACTCCTCAGAGTAAAATCAGCAAGTCATCTTCGGCAGTTTCGCCTTTGTCTTCAAGGAGTCTGTGAGTTTTTTACTTTTAAACTTATCGTGTCATGGTTAGAGTGCAGTCGGGATTTATTGTTTTGGTCTTTGACAATGCAGCTTGATATCACCTCTGGCTAAGGTGAAGATTGAGAAGCTGGAATCTTCTGGAACTGGATCTCCAAATGTGAGGCAGGATGATGAGCAAACAGAAAGTTCGTCCCCTTTTCCGCTTGCTGACCAAGATTCACACCGGGCGCCTGGGAAGCCTTCTGCTGCTAAGCGTCGCCTGTATGAATCTTAGGGTATAAATTCGAGTCTGATCCCTTTGTGTGTTATTTATTAGTTTTGAATGTTGATTGGTTATGTTATTCACTGGATCTAAGTTATGCTAGGTGCAGGAAAGGTGGTTGCCTTTTGTGGATGCTGGATTTGCTGCAAGGAGGCAGTCCTTTTGATGGTGGGCAGGATGATTATGTTGTTGATCGTTTGAAGTTGTGCTGGTTGGAGGGTTTGCAGCTCTTTTGTAAACTTCTTGGAAACCTGATTGTAAACTTTGTTCTTGCCTTGCTTGGCTAATTTTGGCAACTTTGTGGAAATTATGTTGTTGGTTACTAGACAAAACTAATGGTACTTCGGGTATCTGTTTATGAGGTGTAAGTTTTAAGTGCATGTAATTTTCTGTGCAAGATCAGGGTGGTCAGTTTGGACACCTGAAATGTTGTGACCCCAGTGTGGGCAAAATTCTGGCCTTTTGGTCCCTCTTTTGTAGAATGTGAATGCTCAGCAGTTTTTATGTATTATCAAGGAATATAGTTTTTATCTAAGATGCATGTGTTTTACATTTATGTCTTAACTGTATGTATATGCAAATATAACAAAAATGTTCTTTACATCATGTGATGGGAAAGAGTAAGCATTGTCCACAAGAAAAATATGATAAGAACAGGTGAGATTAGTAATGGATAGCAGACGTGCTAATATTAAAAGGAATCTTTTGGGTTGCAAGATTTAAATAATTTGGGTTAATTATGTGCCCAAAATCTAAAGCATTAAATGCAAAAGCCATCATTGTTTACCCTTGGTTACAGAACCAGCAGTCACAATGACTACTTGGATAGAGATTAGACACCTGATATAAAATTATATATTGATTGTATAATATCTTATCAAGGAACACATCAGATATCAAAGAGATTTCATCAATGGACCTTCAACTTTCTCTTTGCCCTCTGGTTTTTGCTCCTGTGTTCAGCAAGTAATTCTGTTTGTGTCGACTTTTTCCCTTCAGTGGAGTATCAGCTAGCTGGAGTATACAGCAAGGTAAGACCTGCTGATCAGCTGTTTGGAGCTACACGTCAGAGACACTCATCATTGGTGATATAGACCACGT